TTTCTCCACATCCCTCATATTCCTACTTTCTCACTTCTTCACTGCTGAACTGATCTCTGAGTTTCAGTCGCTGATTTTCAGAGAAGAAATTTGAATCAAACTCAGATATGAGCTGATAGACAAATGTTTTCTGCCTGTTTTCAAATTTAATTCTCAAGGTTGGTGTTAAACATCAGAAGATCTGGCTACATGTGTCGCATATAAATATCCTGTCTTCTCTGGTAGCCGCTTCATCATGCTGTGCAGTCCTGGTTTCTGAATTACATTTTTATTTTCTCCAGTACTGGAGCCAAAACTAAAACTGCTGGTATAAAAATCAGCCTGTTCTCATGCTCTGGCGTCACGCATTTACATGCTTTGAACAAGCCATGTCTATTGTATGCAAAACAGCGATTTTGTATGTATAGTAGACGCCCCCAGGAACGTGTGGGTGAGACGCATCCAAGCCGAGTGTGTATGTGACGCCCCGGGGTCACTAGCTAGCTAGTGATGTTTTTGTTTAAGGAGTTGACAGCCCCCCCCCCCGAGGCAACTTCGCTAACCTTAACCATGCATAAGCTAGTGCCTAGCCCAAGTCAGTAAATATATGCATGTCGACCGGCAGTTGTGCACAGCTGTAGGGTTAGCCTCCTTTGTGTTGCAACACTATTGCAAACTGCAGCATATCATATACACGCAAAATCGATGTTTTGCATACAATAGACATGGCTTTTCCAAAGCGTGTATATGTGACGCATGAGATGAGATCGGGTTGATAAAAATTTAAATGTCAAAACTGCATTCAGTGTTTTATTGTATTTGTAAAGTGTCTGTTTCCCTCCCCAAACACTGTCCTAAACATTAACTGTTCTATCAGGGAGTGAATAACTTTTCAGCTGTGACAGAAGAAGTTTGCTCACCTTGGTTTGCAGATTTGGGGGCTGAGGTTGCAGGTTTACCTGTAAAGAGAATCCACCTGATCAGATGAATCTGGATGAAATAAGTCCTGAAATCAAAGGTAACCTCCTCACCTGTGACAGAGATCCAGCTGGATGGAGACTCTCCACGACCTCTGATGTTACACTTGTAGAGGCCTTCATCAGACTTGTTAACATGGTGGATGGTCATGTGACCTGTAGGCTCAGTCCTGATGAGGGAGCCATCTTTATAGAAACCAGCTGGGAGGTTGGAGGGAGGGGTCTTTGTTTTACAGTGCAGAGTGACATCATGTCCCTCCATCACAGGGAGGACAGGACTCTGCAGGATCACTGGTCCACCTCAACACAGAGACAAACTACAGCATTTCATCATTTACACACAGCTTCATCAACACTAACTCCACAGTCTGATCTTACCAGTGACAGTGATGTTGATGGTGTTACTGGTTGCTCCCTCTCTGGACTCACACCAGTAAACTCCACTGTCCCATGTGAAGATGTAGCTGATGTCAGGAAGAACCAGCTGGTTCTCCTCCCCAGTCGTCACACTGAGTCCTGGTTCCTCTGGTTGTGTTCCTCCTCAGCGTCCATCCAGCAGAGCTGTCGTCCTCCTCACAGCTCAGAGAGACAGACTCTCCTTCAAACAGCTGAGAGCTGCTGGGACTCACAGTCAGAGAGGCTGGAGGAAGAGACAGAAAGATGTGGTTAGAGAGAACATTTGCATTAATTTTCTCCACATTCCTCATATTCCTACTTTCTCACTTCTTCCTGCTGAACTGATCTCTGTGTTTCAGTCGCTGAGTTTCAGAGAAGAAATCCGAATCCCACTGATTTGATTTTCCCAAATGTTTTCTGCATACTTATAACGTTGGTTGAGGTGGCTACATGAGTTTTTTTATTCATTATCTCTTAGCCACTCAGTGTTGCAGTCTGGACAGCTTTGGCAGTGACAGAAGAAGTTTGCTCACCTTGGTTTGTTGTGCAGCTCAGCAGTGAGGTCAGAACTAAAGAGAAAACACACTCAGGTTGGTTTGAGGTTTTACATGAAACAAGACATCTGGACTTTCTACAAAACAGAACAACAGCCACACATTGATATTAGCTTTGGAAATAACAAATTGTATTTTATTAAGGAGACATACAATTTTGATTTAGTTCAATTTCCCCAAACAGAGCAGTCAGGACATGGAACCTTCGACGCAGCAGGAGTGAAAGATGGCGTTGGGGCCTCTCCTACGCATTATCTACTTTGTTCCAGAGAGTTGGATAGCTGAGCTGAAGCCTGTTTCCCTTGTGTGTAGGGTGGATGATGGATTTTAGGATATTTAAAGACAGCCTCAGAAGAGACCTCCATTTCCTGTGTTGCCTCTGTGTGGCACATTACAATTAAAGACTTAATAGTTACTGGTCTAGTTGCTTGTCTTGTGTGGGTTTTGAGTTGTTTTTAGTTTTGCAGGTTTAGTTATTTAGTTTTTTGCTTTTATATTTGGTTGTTGTGTTTATTCTTATATAAGACAAGCTTAGCAGAGTTAGCCAAAGGACTGATCCAAGCACTGTGAAGCACAGTTTCCTTGACTCCTTGACTGCTGTCACCACTCGGTCATTTAAGGTTACTGTTTCTCACCATCAGGCGGCCAGAAGGAGGACTGAGAGCTTGGAGGAGCTCAGCAGGTGGAACAAAGCGTACTGGAGGATTCTGGAAACACACTGAGCAGCTTTGGCCCCGGAGTATTTGCCACTGTCAATTTTATAAACAATTAAGGTGCCAATAAATGAATAAACCCTGTTTTAACTTGTTTGTTGTTGTGTATTTTAATTTTGTTAAATTCTTAATAATTGTGTTTTAAATAGTCATCCTCTGGTCCGAGCTTGGCATGTGTGTGTTTTCTCTTCTGTAGCACTTCAGGATAGTAAATACCTTTCTGTATAAAACTTTTCTACATGCTTTCAACCTCTTTCTTCTATTTTATGATATACTGTAGGAATAACTACTGTTAACAATGCAATGAACACTTGCTGTAATGTTTGTGTTGCTTTTTGGTGCCATATTATCAAACAACACTGAAATTCCTGCTCTGTTGTTGCAGTTAACATGTACACGATCTGTTTGGCTGATTTCTGTCTTTGTATTCATGTTGTTCACTCTATAACTCGCTGTTGCTTTCAAAATCACCAGAAATGTTTTAGACCTAATCTTTGAGACAACGTGGAGACAAACATTCACACATTAAGTAGATTCTTGCTTACCTAGCAGCCGCGGTAAAGATGATTTCTCCATTTTAACTCTCGGCCATCTGAGATCAACACATTAACGTTCACCAGTCAAACCAAGTAAAACCCTCCTCCTTCCTCTTTGTGTGTCACTCGTTCTCTTGTGGTTTTCTCACATAGTTAACAGGAAATAAACTTTATGTTGAGGCTCAAATTGAAAAACTGACCAGGTTGTGCAGAGGCACAGTGGTGACACTTACTGAGAGACAAATCACATCTTTTGCCAATTTAGTCTTTTATAGACAGCATGTATTAACTTGGTATTTGTATATAATTTACCAAACAAATATACATCTATAAACATATGATGAACAACATATGATCATGTGGCAATAAATAAAGGACAATTGAAAAATAGAGACATGTGGTTTGTTCTTGTCAGAAACCCAGTCATAGTCACCAGCTGTGCTCATTGTTTTTACACTGTACCTTCATCATCATCATCATCATTCAACCTCACCCCTGTATTCTGGCATGGCTGCAGAACATTGACTTTGAAGCCAAAAGGCTCTCAAGACCGACAGGCCTGTAAAAGTCCCCCCAAGAAATTCATATATTTTGTTATATTTACTTTTACTTACGGGTCACCTGACCCACCTGTCTGTCTTTACTTAGTTTATTTCTTCAAACAGAGAAACAAAAAAAATGAAACAAAATTGGACAGTTATTTTAATTACTTTTTTTTGATTCATGGAAATATGGCTCTGTTTTTTGTTTCTTCACTTTTAGGTCCATACAAAACAAAACAAAACAATTATAAAAACAAACTATTCAAATGTATACCTCTCTTCCCGACTGCTGACCTGACTCATGACTTTTAGGGGGCAACTTTATGAATGCCATCCGCAAAAATGGCTAGTAAGAGTGACTGTGGCAGGCCACTGCTGAATTCAACCCACGTTTTCTTCATTTTGTACATAAGCACATGTCCTTATTACATCTGTTGTGTTTAACACCTCTGGTTTCACCATGTACCGTTAGCCCCGTAGTATAACACAGAAACTCACAAGTTAAGGCAAACATTGGCAACAGGCTATGTACCACAGTACTTTAAAGTAGCTGTAATTAAACCTCTTCCGCTTTTGATCGAGGGGTTTTAGCAAACTGTAAACCTATATTTAACCTTCCATTTCTCCAAAGATGCTTGAGAAAGCAGTCGCCAAACAGCTGTGTGACTTTCTACAGAGCAAGAGTTTATTTGAGGATTGTCACTCAGGATTTAGAGATCATCATAGCACAGAGACAGAACTGGTGAAAATTACTAATGACCTTATCCAATACAAATATTATTGACATTTGTGAATCGATCCATAATCGTCCAAGTCCCCATCGCGATGCATCTAAAAATCAATTATTTCCCCCACCCCTAGTAGAGAGTGGCTGAGTCCAAACAAATCCATAAAGAAACAAAATCAAAACAGCCAATCAAAATCAAAAGAAGGCAAAAGTGCAACAAAGATCCACAAACAAAACAAGCAAGATTAAAAACTGGAACACATTTGAAAGAGCACAACAAGCTACAAGGATCTGACAAAAGGGAACAAACAAACCTACCGTTATATAGAGGGGGCAGGGTAACTGTAACACAGGTGAGACACATGGGACTATAAGACTGAACAGAAAACAAAGCTAGACAAAGACACCGGACGCTCCAAAACAAACCAGGAAGTAAAACTCACAAAGACGCACGAGGGCGACTTAAAAAAAATAAAACAGAGCACAGAAACAAACGAACAACTGACAAAAAAACAAGAACACAGGAGGCGGGGAGTGATAAACACAGGAGGAAATGGCAGAAACACAACAAAGTTGTTGTGAAGTTTATTGAAAACTTTTAAAGTAAATAAAAACCCTGTTTTAAAACATCTAAACCAAACAAGCAAGAGTAACAACAAAACTCAAACCAGAACCTGAACCTGAGCTTTTATTTGGACCAAAAACATGTCGACAGCTTTGTTCATTTGTCCAGGGGTCTGTATCATGAAATCTGAGGTTTATTTGCTGATGACACAAACATTTTATCTTCATTTAAGAACCACAACACACTGGATCAGCTCAGAAGTGATGCTCTGTGGTGACAGCAGTGATGATGTCATCATAGTCATTATTCAATCCCTCATCAGCCTGGGGGGGCGGGGTCATCACCATAGAGGCGGGCAGGTCATTTCCTGCAGTCAGAGCAGGGTAGAAAGAAAATATCAATCAGTAAGCATCAGCTAAATTAATAAAGGTAATGATTGATCTATTAATTGATTGATTGATTGATTGTAAGGTCAGTGAATGATTCAGTGTTACCTGTGGCCCTGTGTCGATATAAAGACACCATGAGGACAGTGGAGATGCAGTATGGACAGAAGACCACCAGGTGGTAGATCAGTCTGAACACAAGTTGGAGGGGGGCTGAGGCAGGTGGCGATGGAGGAGGCGATGGAGGAGGCGGGGTGGGCAGAGCTGAGGTTGTAGGTTTACCTGTAGAGAGAATCCCACCTGGTCAGGTGAATCTCTGGATGAAATAAGTCCTGAAATCAAAGGTAACCTCCTCACCTGTGACAGAGATCCAGCTGGATGGAGACTCTCCACGACCTCTGATGTCACACTTGTAGAGGCCTTCATCAGACTTGTTAACATGGTGGATGGTCATGTGACCTGTAGGCTCAGTCCTGATGAGGGAGCCATCTTTATAGAAACCAGCTGGGAGGTTGGAGGGAGGGGTCTGTTTTACAGTGCAGAGTGACATCATGTCCCTCCATCACAGGGAGGACAGGACTCTGCAGGATCACTGGTCCACCTCAACACAGAGACAAACTACAGCATTTCATCATTTACACACAGCTTCATCAACACTAACTCCACAGTCTGATCTTACCAGTGACAGTGATGTTGATGGTGTTACTGGTTGCTCCCTCTCTGGACTCACACCAGTAAACTCCACTGTCCACTGGGAAAATGTAACTGATGTTGCAGGAAGAACCAGCTGGTTCTCCCCAGTCGTCACACTGAGTCCTGGTTCCTCTGGTTGTGTTCCTCCTCAGCGTCCATCCAGCAGAGCTGTCGTCCTCCTCACAGCTCAGAGAGACAGACTCTCTTTAAACAGCTGAGAGCTGCTGGGACTCACAGTCAGAGAGGCTGGAGGAAGAGACAGAAAGATGTGGTTAGAGAGCATTTGCATTAATTTTCTCCACATTCCTCATATTCCTACTTTCTCACTTCTTCACTGCTGAACTGATCTCTGAGTTTCAGGCACTGAATTAAACTCAGATTTGAGCTGATAGATGAAAGTTTTCTGCATGTTTTCAGTGTTGGTTGAGATCTGGCAACATGTTTGTAAACATCTTTTTTATCTGTTAACCACTCAGTGTTGCAGGCTGCACACTGTGGCTGTGACAGAAGAAGTTTTCTCACCTTGGTTTGTTGTGCAGCTCAGCAGTGAGGTCAGAACTAAAGAGAAATCACACTCAGGTTGGTTTGTGGTTTTAACATGAAACAAGACGTACTTCTACAAAACAGAGCAACCTGTTTGTAGAAAACCACCACACATTTATATTAGATATGGAAAAAACTAATTTTATTTACATACACATGCAATTGTTTTTAGTCCAATTTCCACAAACAGACCATGTGGAATGTGTTTCGAAGTGTCCTTGGGCATAGGGGCGATTTTTTATATTATTTTCTGTCCTCCAATTTTAGATTTTGGAGAAGCAAGAGAAGGGACAACCAATTAGCCTACAGTTTGATATGGCTTTTCTTTTATTAAACGGATTTAATGTCCCTGAATACTGACATTTTTCAGTTTCTAATGTTTTACTGAATGATCCGCAACCGCGCTGGCCAACAGGTCAGCTTTTGCGGAACGCTGCTTGTGTGTCTGTCTCTCGGGGCCAAACTAATACTTTCAATATTGAGGAGGGATACGAGCGGCCCCTCCCAACTTGGCTGAATTATGATTGTCTCAACGGCGCCGATGAGAGGTGTTTACTTTCCCTCTGGGGCGAGTTTAATCCAAAAACCTTTTACACCGGTTTGCTACATTTGTCGGGGCTGAACTCAGCCCAGGGTTGTGTGACAAGTGCAACAGAGACGGTAAATATGGGAAAAGAAAGAAAGAGGAAAAAGACATGTGTGGTGCCGAAAATATAAGAATTAAGAAAAAAAATGTTGAGACAAGAGGCAGCTGAATGCGCCAACTTAACCGACTGCTTCCTTGGTGGAAGTTGCTGTGGAAGGCGCAGATGAGGCAGAACCTAGCAGCTGAATAAATAGGTGCACAATTAGTAATGCATTTATTATGTACATTTATAAAATGCATTTATTACGTACATTTATAATGCATATATTACATATATATATACACCATACACACACACATATATATATATATATATATATAAACAGTTTGCAATGTGAAGAATCTTTGTGTGTCTGCATCAAGGGCGTCACTTTGTGTTGAAAAGTGGTGGGGACATAAGGGCTCAGATTAGGGGCGTAATGGATCATGAGACGCGACGATGCACAAGAACAAGACAAGGCAAGATTTTTAGCATTAAACTGGTAATTTCCTGCATTCGGGAGACATTTTCTGCTCCAATTTAAGGTGGAAATGTCTGTTTTTATATGAGGGAAATATATTGCATTGCATGTTTTCTTATTGTGCAAATAAACCTTTCTCAAAGCATTTTCATTTGTTAGTTAACATTTCTTGGTGCTTTTTTTTCAGAAGATTGTTAACAAATGCTCTCAAAAAGTGATGGGGACAAAATCAGCCGGGTGGGGAGATGTCTCCAGCATGTCCCCACCACTTTTGCAAGGCATTGTATGCATGCTACATTCTCATTAGGGGCTGAGCACCCCTAAAGGTCTGATCCTAGAATCGCCCCTTCTTGGGCAAGATACTGAGCCCCCGATGGCTCATCAGTGTATGAATCTGTGAGTGTTAGTTTCCGTTTGAGCACTTAGGCTCAGTGTATGAATGTGTGTGAATGGGTGAATGTAACGAAGTGTAAAGCGTTTTGAGTGGTCGGAAGACTACAAAGGTCTTATAACACGTCTAACTCCTAACCTCTAACATGCACTTCCTGTGCTCTTCTTCTTCTATCCCCCACAATGATCTTGTATTGATTGCACTTTTTGTTTTGATTGCACGTTTGGTTAACTCTTACTTCCTTCCCTAGGTATCTACCCCATTGATGTGATATGTACTGTGAGCTCTTACTAGTATTTATTGCTGCTCTTACTAGTATGTATTGTCAGTTGTAGACCTGTAGTTGATGCTCTGTTGATGCTTGTATGTTGTTCCTCAAATGTAAGTCGCTTTGGATAAAAGCGTCTGCCAAATGAGTAAATGTAAATGTAAATGCTATACAAATACAGACCATTTACCATTTAGGATGCACAATCTTTGAGGTAGACAAGTTCAAGCAGCGGCCGGGTTGACTGGAGGGAAAGCTGCTCGTGAGGACTCGCGTAGGTGAGGATGCTGGTGAGGAACATGAGGATTCCTTCCCCCCTCCTTTTCCAAATAAGAACCTCTCCTACGCATTATCTACTTCATTCCAGAGAGTAAAAGTGTGTTGGATTGTGGAGCTGAAGCCTGTTTCCCTTGTGTATAGGGTGGATTGACAGATTTTAGGATAGTTAAAGACTGCATCAGAAGAGACCTCCATTTCCTGTTTTGCCTGTGTGTGTTGCACGTTACAATTAAAGACTTGATAGTTACTGGTCTAAGTATTTGCTTGTCTTGTGTGGGTTTTGAGTTGTTTTTAGTTTTGCACGTTTAGTTATTTTCTTTTTGTATTTTACATGTTTATTTGCTTTTATATTTGGTTGTTGTGTTTATTCTGATATTAAGACAAGCTTAGCCGAGTTAGCCAAAGGACTGATCCAAGCACTGTGAAGCGTACAATTTATGGTTACCAGCCAGGTCGTTCTCTAGAATGATGTGCACTCCTTCAATTGGTAGTGCCGGCCTTATGCCCATGGCAACCTCACCTTGGACCAAACCATAGTTAAGTGTCAGTCTAGCACTGGAATAGGCAGCACGATTAAACCCATTCCCCGTGTCAGCACGTGCTCTCCCGAGAAAATGGCAACACAGAGCTCACAATATGTGAATGAAAAGCCCCGGTATCTCTCACTCTCATCTCTTACAGTATCACTCCCCATCACCTCCAAGCTACACTTCTCTCCAGCACCAACTCACAAGCCATAAACACTGCAGCCTTGACGGTCACATAAACTTTACTTTCAGCCACAATGAGAGCAGAGTAGGCCTTCTGTGCTTACCTGTCAACACACATTGCAAGAGTAATGTGCAGTCAGAGTCTGACCACTGTCTACTCTCTGCTACCCGCTCAATAAGTGAGAAAAAGGTGTCTGGGTCTCGTTCACAAAACAGCTCATCAATGTCTCCCAAACAACCAGATTGTACAACTCATTCACAAAATGAGGCACACAACTTAATACTAGACCACAACTAACCTCCGCCGTCAAGCAGACACAGAGTCATAAGGCCTGGACGAGCCCCCATTTGTCACAGCGGCACTATGGCTGCGACAAATATGGGAGACAAAACGAGCTTGCACGAAAAAAGTAACGGTTTATTTTACAAAATATTTAACAAAGATAATAACGTGAATTAGTGTCAGTCATGTCAGTGTGTGGGTGTGTGAAATGTCAGTGAGAACACAAAAGCAATCAATAGCTGCACCCGCGATGAGAGAGCCAGAAAGACAAAAAAGGATGTGAGCTTTATTGCTCCCAAACACTCAGGCCCGCTGATGACGACCTCCCAGCCCCCATCCTGCAAGATAAGACCAGCAGGGGTTGTAGAATATTATGTGGTCTGGTCGCTGCCTCGCTGCCTTGCTGCCTCGCTGCACACCGACCGCTGGTTGTAGTTGGTTGTATCTAATGTAATACATCTTTATCATAATTATTTGTTAAATATACTATGTTATCGATTATGCCTACTCTTATTGAGATATATGAGATATAGATATATATATATATATATATATATAGATATCTATCTATCTCTATACTTTTTAAAATATAGCATACTAATTTTGATTAACTATATTCTTATTGTTAAAATCAGTCTAGCTTGGATTCAACCAACAAGTGGTCACCACACTTTCCTTCACAGGTGACAACACTGGCCTTCTTCTTGTAGGCAAGAACCAAAGATAGAGATTTATTACTGCAGGTTAACCACACAAACTGCAATATATAGTGCAACAATAAGAATATAGGCATAATCGATAATGTTGTAGGCTATATTTATCAAAGTATTGTGATCTAGATAGATGTATAGCCTACTGTAGATGGCTACAACCACACAAACTGCAATATACTGTACGCCTACAGTGCATCAATAAGAATAGGCATAATCCATAATATTTTAACAAAGAATTACGATAAAGATGTATTACAGTAGATATAACCAACTGCAAACAGTGGTCAGTGTGGCAGCAACCACTATCTTTAGCGCCCCAAGTTGCAGCGACCACACCGACCAGTGTGGCAGCAGTGTGGAGCCTCATCTCACGCCCACACGCACAAACACACACAG